GTACTTGAAATTTCGGATTGTTCTTTATACATCAATGTATTTTAGAGCCTAAAAATATTTTTCTTAACTTTAATGGCAAAATCTGTAGAAACTGATAAATTATTCACAGCTTACTCTGTGTATGAAAGCCTAACCCAAAGAATTTTTTTCTGATTTTCTTGTAAACTGTGAAAATATCACAACATTCAGTAAAATATTTAGAAGTCAAGATTTGTTGCGGTTCAGAATAATTTTACCTGATGCTAGTCTGTCCTCCTAAGTCCCAGACTTGAAATTTTAGATTCTTGTAGGTGACTGTTTCAACATTAAAACCAATTGCTAAAAGAAAAAACAAAACTTAACTAGCTTGTTTGAAACAAACTGATATTCAACTCTATTGTATGAATGTTTTTTTAATTTCCAAATAAATTTTTATTACTACTGAATAATATTCAGTACGGGTAATCCTCGACTTACAACATCATGGAATTGAAAGAGACTTACAACCCTTTTTCACACTTATTACCATTGCAGCATCCCATGGTCACGTAATGAAAATTTGGATGCTTGATAACTGGCATGTATTTATGATGGTTGCGGTGTCATATCATGTGATCAATCACCTTTTGTGACCTTCTGACAAGCAAAGTCAATAGGGAAGCCAGATTCACTTATCATGTTGCTAACTTAACAACTACAGTGATTCACTTAACTGTGGCAATAAAAGTCGTAAAATGGGGCAAAACTCGCTTAACTGTCTTGCTTAGCAATAGATATTTTGCACTCAATGTAGTTATAAGTCAAGGAATATCCATATTATTAAAAACATAGCCAAAACATCAATATTTATAAGCCAAGATGCATATAAATGAGATGGGGGACTATAAATGCAAATAATACATAAATATTGAATAACCTACAACCTTCCCTTTTTGGCAGGATTGGTAAGAAGGGCTGCAGTTGCAGAAGAGCCATCAGATTCTAGGCTGATTCATTCTTTACTACTGGATGGGTTATGTTGTCCCATATAGAACTTAGGTGTCCTTCTTGACTTCTTGCTCAATGAACAGATAGCAACTGTGTCTAAGTGCTTTCATACATACAACTACTGCTTTCATACAAATGCTTGCTTATTCACAATTATATCTGATATCATAATGTAGGCTCTCTCCATATCCCTTCATACGGGTAATGTCATCAGCAGATCTCATGAAAGAAACTCAACTCAAATATTGCTTTCTTTTTCTAAAACGGCACCCGCTGAAAATTCAATGGCTGTTATCCTAGTGGTTTTTAGGAAAGCCTTTCAAACTTGGCTGGAGGTTTTACGTTGTTGCCTGGTTTTGAAATATTTCATTAATGTAATTGTTTTACAAAAATTGTATAAAATGTTAGTATATTGTTCCCAGAATTTTACAAAAACTGTATAAAATGCTAGTATGTAAGCATTGTTCCCAGAATTTACATATGAATGTACTACGAGTTTTGTATTATTTTATTATCCTTTAACCTGGTCAATAGATATCTGAAATGTACACTATTCAGTCTTCACTGATTCCAGTGGCATATAAACCCAACAAGGAAATAAATTTATTCTACAGCTGAAAAGCCAATATTGGAAAATCCTAATTTCCTTATAGGAGGAAAAAGAATACCCTATACATAGAGATGTTTGTTCTGCTCAGATGTTATAAAATTTCCTTTAATAATATTCATAATATTTAGTAAATTAAGTATTTACAATTTTTTTTGTGCAACCCATATTGTAAAGAAAGGTGAAGTAGATTTTAGGACACTTCAATTATTAAATGTATAAAAGGAGATAAGAACATTGCATTACAATCACATTTCATTTAGGAAAAAAAACACTTACTAGGAATGGTAGTTACAACTTCACCAACTTGTAACCTGTAGAGAATTGTGGTCTTTCCTGCTCCATCTAATCCCAAAATTAAAATTCTCATCTCCCGTGTACCAAACAAACTGGAAAAGATTGTTGAAAAAAAGCCACCTATAAAAAAACAAGCATTATTAAAAGTGTACTACAATAACAGACTGTTCCAAATTAATAATTTTTAAAGCTTTCCTGAGAAATACATTTTACTTCTAAGACATCTGCTTATCTTAACAATATTTCTCCTTTCTGTCCTTTTTAATAATTACACACATGCAATACAAAAGCAAGGCATAGTAATCTTAAAAGTTGAAATTTCTGTATTATTACACATCATTTTGTATTTTTGTGAATGCAATTTCATAATTTCCAAACATCTTTCAATGAAGATCAGGATGGTGGGGAATGGCAGGATTTATATTCCTTGCAGGCAGCTGCAAATGCAAATGAACAGCTGTTTGCAAGGAATATAAATTTTTCTATTCCCCATCATCCAGTCAGAGTTGAAGAAGCTTTTTGGATGAGAAGTGAAACGTCTTCAAAGAAAAATAAAGTCCAGTTGTCTCCTGGAAAAGCACCTTTGGGACAACCATGACCTGGATGACTGAGAATCTCCACAGACATGATCAATATCCAACAAATATAGCTCATACAAACTAAAGCTATTTATGAGTCCTCCATAATTTTAAAAATTGGGAAGGGGATGCTGAAAGCAAAAAGTTTAAGAATCACTGTTCTAGCGCCAAGGAGTGGGGGAATGGCTGGGGTACCCCTAATCTTGCTTTAATTTTGGTTTCCAAGTTGGTTTGCCATCCTCATCAGAGACGGCTGAAATTTATAGTTCAGTGACATACAGATGGATATCCCTGCGGGTCGCACCCGACCTTAAGGTAAAAGCTTCCGAATGGGAAATTAGAAATCGAGAGCCAGGGCATGTTACTGTCTACAAGCAGTACAACAGTGTTTCTCAACCTTGACCATTTTAAGGCATGTGGACTTCAACTCCCAGAATTCCACAGCCAGCAAATGCTGGCTGTGGAATTCTGGGAGTTGAAGTCCACATGCCTTAAAATGGTCAAGGTTGAGAAACACTGCAGTACAAGCTACCCTCCATTTCACCTAAGTTAAACAAAGGGGAAATAACGCGTGAGAACGAGGAGGAGGAAAAGGGGAGGGGAGTCGGTTCGAAGGCGTCGAAGTTGACTCCGGGAAGAAAATTCCACCACACCGCCCGAGATGCCGGGTTTCCCCTCCAGGAAGCTCCCAGGCGAGCGAATCCAGTCGCCCGATAGTCCCCAGGAATAGCCCAGAGCCTCAAGGGCGCCGCGGACACACACACACACACACACACACACACACACCGGTCTCGCGCCACGAGGGGGGGGGGAAGCTCTTCCCGGAACCCCACGCCCCCTCCTGCCCCCAGCGCTCCTTTTTCGGATTTGCATGATTTCCTCCCCTTCGAGCCGCCACCTCCGCCCTCGCCAAAGTCCTGCCTTTCTCCCGTCCCTCACCCATGGCGGTAAAGGCTTCCCGGGCTGTTTTCCGCTCAGATTCCCGGTATTGGTCCTCCCCGCTCAGACTCTTGTTACTGCCGGCGGCGTCCACCCGGAAGTCGGCGAGAAGCTGGTTCCACGTCGGCTCCCGCGTGCTCGAGTCGCGACGTTCCCCAGCTGCCTGACATGGCGGCCAAACCCAGAGCAGACGTTTCGACACAAACCAGCGGCGCAGAGACTTGAGGACGACGCGACGAATCTGCTAGGTCGAAAGCAGAGCGACAGAACCTCTCTCGGCTTCCTCATTGGAGAAATTCGGCCGGTGGGCGGGGATAGATTTCGCTCGCGGGATCCAAGAGGTGGGGCTGGTTCGAGTTCCGGGATCACGTGGTGCTGAGCAAAAGCGGTGATAGGTAGGAAGTTGCAGGAAGCGTTTTCTGCTTTTGAGGGAAAGCATTGGCGTATTTGTTTGTTTTTTTTTGTTACCTAAGGTTGCGGGTCTGCAGTGTTGTAGTATTTATTGCTAAACTTGATGTTTCATTCCCGCGTAGTTTAAGAATGAAGCGCGACGGGGCAGCAGCATATTTCAGTGGAGAATTTCCAAGTACATCTATGAAGAAACTTGCAACAGGACTGCAGAATGTGATTATCCTGGGATTTTCCAACGTAATTTAATATTTATAGAATGACATGTTGGTTACATTTCACTTTTTGTAAAGGCGTTATTTGATATTTTTTTAGAAAGAGCAATTATCAAAACATACATTATGAAAGAAAGCACTATCCTTAGACCAGTGTTTCTCAACCTTGACAATTTTAAGGCATGTGGACTTCAACTCCCAGAATTCCACAGCCAGCATTGCTGGCTGTGGAATTCTGGGAGTTGAAGTCCACATGCCTTAAAATTGTCAAGGTTGAGAAACACTGCCTTAGACAATCTAGATTTTATTCAGAATACTTTTTAAAGGCTCATATAATTTCAGTAGAATGGGGGAAGGGAAACAATGTTGCTATAAAAAGAAACTTTTTCCAATAATTCTTTAAATACAGATAATCCTCGACTTACGACCACAATTGAGCCCAAAATTTCTGTTGTTAAATGAAGCATTTGTTAAGTGAGTTTTGCCCCATTTTACGACCTTTCTTGCCACAGCTGTTAAGTGAATCGATGCAGCTGTTAAGTTAGTAACATGGTTGTTAAGTGAATTTGGCTTCCCCCATTGGCTTTGCTTGTCAGAAGGTCACCGAAGGTGATCACATGACCCCAGGACACTGCAACCATCATAAATATGGGCCACTTGCCAAGCATCTGAATTTTGATCACATAACCAAGGGGATGCTGCAATGGTCCCAAGTGTAAAAAATAGTCATAAGTCGCTTTTTTCACTGCTGTTGTAACTTTGAACAGTCTCTAATGAACTGTTGTAAGTCAAGGACTACCTGTAGACAAAATCATTTTACACACACATTATTTCATTTCATGTGGGTTGCCAGAGTTAAAGAAAAAAAAATCTGGCCAGTGTTTGACACTGATATACTGATACCAGAATTTTTATTCTTGTTAATTATATTCTATTTCCTTTTCAAACTAATTAACCTTGTACACAAATGTGGCTGTTTAAAAAAGTTTATTTTTCCACTTAGGTAATGAATGGCAAGAACACACAAAAATTACTCATACATGTAATGAAACCTATTAAAATTATTTCACCATAATTTATAAAATGTTACTTGTACAAAAAACATCAATAATGAATAAACATTATTCTTCATCCCCTTGATATTCTTAGCAGGCCACGGATACGTCTAACAAGTGCTTGAATGAAAGTATAGCGTGACCGCACCTTAGAATACAGTCCTTCTATATCTAGAAGTTTCTTCTGAAGGGATTCTCCAAAAGTATTGGTTGCCTCTAGCTGAAGCTAAAAAGAAACAACAACAAAACCCAAGATAATCTTTATTTATTAAATCCTCCTTTAATGCACTGCTAATTTAGATTCAGTGGTTTATATAAATGGGGTCTTCTTTGAAGCAGACCCAGCCTTGCTTTTTAAAATCTAAAAAGTAAGCATATATATTTATGTCATGCCATGCCTAGGTTTAACATATGCTTGTTACAAAAAGTAAAGTGAAAATCCAATCCTGATATTATAACATTGTAAGAATCAGAAGCCCATTACAATATTATTATTTTAAAGTTTTAAAATATAGACTTTGATGGAAAGAGAAAGATGATACAGGGACGCACCCAAGAAACCTAATTATCCCTAAATTTCTATTCTCAAATATATGAAAAATGATAAATACAAATAATATATAAATTACTCAAGTGTATGAAAAAATAGTCAATTATATTCATTTATTTTAAAGCTAATATACTTTTTACTGTTATAATAATGTAAGATTTGCAAAGAAAAAACAAGGCAAAGTATGCTTTCTTTTTAATGGTTTACATTTTGTTAATTGAAAGGAAATGAAAAGAAAAATTCCAATATTTGCTTCTGCTTTTAAATTTAGTATCATAATAGAAAAGTGTAAAGGAGACGAGACAAGAAAAAGCAAATATGTTGGATAATTTCTTTTATTACAGAGCCAGTTTAGAATAGTGGTTAAACTGGGAGACTAAGTTCTAGAGTAGTGATGGCAAACCTTTTAGAGACTGAGTGCCCAAAAACCACCCCCCACCCCTGCTCTGCCTCCCACCCTGCCTACTCTGCCCCCGCCCGCCCAGCCGCAGGACCACGCACCGCCTCCATGGCCCACCGCAGATCGCCCAGGCAGCCCTGCAGCACCATGGCAGCCACGCCCTCCACCCGCACCCCACAGCATCATCTGCACACTATGAGGCGCGAGGGCAGAGTCTTGTCCCTGCTGCCCCGCTATGTCTTTGGCTGTGCTGCTCCGTGCGGGCTGTGCCTGGGGGCGACTCTCCTCCAGGGGGGCTGCTGGTGAGGAGGGGGCCATGGGGGGAGGCAGGGCTGGGGTGATGGCGTGCGTGCCCACAGAGAGGGCTCCGAGTGCCACCTTTGGCACGTGTGCCATAGGTTCACCACCACTGTTCTAGAGTTTAGTTGGGCAACCGTGGTCTCTCTCTCTCAGTCTTAGGAAAGAGGCAGTGGCAAACCATTTTCAAAAAACCTTGCCAAGAAAACTGCATGGACTACTACTCACTATGTGTCAACCCCTCCCACAACCCTTTATTACTAATATTCATAACCCACAAGAACAAGTATGGTTCTAGAAGCAATATTTATGCTGGATTGTTGTGTATTTATTGACCATTCAGAATGAATAATTTCAAAGGTAAGTAGCATTGAACTAATCAAAAATTTTATTTTTAAGGACCAATAATCACTTAATAAAAGTAATGTAGAGAATCAAGCCCACTATTTATAAAGAAAACCTTTGAAAGATCCTACCTGATCTATATCAAGTTGGCTTACTCTGCTCAATCCACTTGTTACATCGAAGTTAGTTTCTGAATTAAAGGAATGTTGGAATTAAAAATTAACATAGTTATGTCCAAAGCAAGCTTTAAAAATATGCAATGTTACGTCATTTTAGAGTTGCATAATATCTATACATGGAATCAAAAATTATTCTAGTAAATAGAAATATTTTATCAATTGATATCTTTGTTCTAGTACATATAAATAGAGAGACAAAGAAAATCTGAGATCCTTATACCAACTGCGTCTCCTAAAGGAGCCATCTCAATTCAGCTGTTTTGGAGGACTATTAACCTTAGGGAACTGGTAGGGCAGCAATTACAGAGCATTGTAGATGAAAAGAATTGTCTGAATCCCTTTCAGATATGAGAATAGAATAGAATAGAATTATTCTTTATTGGCCAAGCGTGATTGGACACACAAGGAATTTGTCTCCAGTGCATAAGCTCTCAATGTACATATAAACAACAAAGTGATAAATTGTAAGATACCAATAGGAGAATATAACAGGAAACATGAGAAGGATAATAGCAATACAGCCCAACTACATGGGTAAATATTCTTAGGCATAAATCAATGCTGTGGGAATTAGGTGATTAGCAGAGGGATGGCATGGGGGAAAAAATTGTCTTTGTATCAAGCCGTTTTGGCATGCAATGCCCTGTAGTGGCATCCTGAGGGGAGGAGCTGAAACACTGTATGTCCAGGATGTGAGGGGTCTGTAGATATTTTCTCAGCCCTCTTCCTGGCTCCTAATAATAATTCCGATAATAATTATAAAAAATATAATTATTATAAAAAATATAAAAGTAATTAAAATAATAATTACAATAATCAGATAAGACTACATCTTATATGTAGATGATTGTAAGATGATCTGGATGGAGGGAGTATGACCCTGTTGATCTTGTGAACATCTTGAAGGCCTCTTTTATACCACTGGTCATAGTATTCCACTGAACTGTGTAGGGTGTGGATTGTGTCCTCTTTATTTTTCAATCTCTACATGATTCTACTGAAGAGGTCATCTATCAGCACAATATAAGGTACCATGTTGATGATAACCAACTATATATCTCCACTTTAAGCTAAGAAGGAATTGTAAATCAAAATGATATCCCAATGCCTGGAGGCTGTTAGGGACTGACTGGATGGAAGAAACAAACTTTAGACTTATTTTCAGCAGAATGAAGAGGTCAGATTTAGAAATCTAACTCTAGAGTAAGTTCATATTTTATTCTAGAAGGGTTGTGCTTCCTTATGAGAACAGGATCGTATTCTGGGGGTTCTGGATTCATGTTTCCTGCTGGAGGAATAAGTGGAAGCCATTACTGAGGGGCAAGTTACAACTTCTGTTTCAACTACAATTTCCCCTGGAATGGGAGCCTTTATAAGCATGATTCATGCATCTAATTAATCACAAAATGCTTAAACCAATGTTTTAGTTTTGTTGTAGCAGAATCCATTAAAACTTTTCCAATCCTAATTGATTAAAAATAGTTGCATAATCTGCTGATTAAACTTTAAGAGATAACATAATGTAGGAATTTAAATAAATTTAAGGAAAATTACCTTGTAATCTTCTGTTCCTCAACTGAGTCCTGGGAGCCAAAAGAGAAGCTTGGGAATCTGCAGGAGTACAGTGTAGTAGATAGTGTTCAAGATGCCGCCAAAGAATAAAAAGACAGGTTTCTATAATATCTGAAAACATATCTAGTAAAGGAGCTTACATTTATTGTCCATATACATGAGCATGTATATAACAAAATAAAGCAAGAGATAATCATACAGTTGCTGGGTTAATGGCAAATAAGGATCTGTTTCATTCCCACATTTAAATTATTTCTTCCAGAATACACATACATTCTATCATTTTTAAGCAAAACCAAGTTCTCTAGTTGCAGTTTAAATTATTTTTATTGCTTTCTCAAACGTTATTAAATAACTTTATATTTAGACTGCTCAATTAATATTCCTAACAATAATCATAATCCCAAACTGCATTTAATGCCTCTTAAACAAAAAATCTTCCCAGAAGTTCTGCTGCATTTAAAATGTTATCATCTTATAGAATTAAACAGTCTCTCACAAAAGTTCATTTTTTTGATTAATTTTAAAGGTTATAAAATTGTAATGTTAGATCAATGGTCATGCAGATTTTTTTGATATTTAAAAAACTATTACATCTGATTACAGTCTTTGAACAAAGGCTATTATCTATTTAAAATCAAGAAATCACAAATTGTTGAGATTTGCAAGATTGGTTAAAAAAAACATTTAAGTTGGATAGCAGTGGAGGAAGTCACTTTTCACCATATTAAGTTCTTAATTTTGTTCCTAAAGGTTTTAAAATACCATCTCTGAAGTTTGCTCTAAAAAACAAATTAGTTTTCACATAATGATCAAAGGATACAGCAACACAGAGAAAGCAATTTGGCTCTATTGTTGATCAGCTTCACTAAACGTCGCTTTGCTAAAATATACTTTTGGGTAGTGGAAATTTTGTCTACTCCAGCTAGAATAACAGACTGGCACAACTATGGAAAGAAAGAAAGACATATAAACATGTAATATTGTGTACTTAGCCATCATACAAAGTAAGAGCTCTACAAAACCAACTTCTCATATAAAGACACATATTATTCCAAATAAAAAATAAGCTTAAAGAGAAATTTTACAATGAGAAACTCTGGAATATTACTTGTATAGCAACTTTGATACATTTGGCATCTCCCGAGATCTCAGTCACTGAATAACTTGATAATCTCCGCAAAGACTGATTAACAACAGAAAAAATTAAAAGTCTCTTTATTCTTCTAAGAAAAGCAAGAATATTTAATTTTTTCTCATTCAGAACTTACACTATTACAATACAAAAAGAGGCAGTAAATACCATCCCTCCCCATTGTACTGATACACTTAGTATCCCCTTCACTGATTGTTGTAATTACTGTCATATAAAATATAACATGAAGGGGTGCAACAATTAAAGGATAAACTTGGTGGAAATAGTGAAAGCAAGAGAAGGATACAGGAAAATTACCTCTTTTATCTCTTCTGGTGGTAGCTGTTCCACATTTTGCAACTTGCTAACATTCTGACGATGACTATCGTAGTAACTGAAGAAGTCATTTGCACTTTGTTTTAAGAGATAGACAATAATACCCAGGCCAGGCAATCGCCAATATGGAATCACTGGTGCTTGTGTATCTAAAACAGGTAATAATCCACGTTAAAACAAAGAGCATTTGCCATAAAGGTGGATCCCACTAAATTAAAAACAAACTTAATCTAAAATAAAAGCTAAAGAGTTAATTGTACTTTATTACAAAAGTGTGGCCTCCAATGTCATGTATTTGATATTGCCCTCCCATCCACATGTAGAGTACAAACATGTAGAAAATAAGTACTACAGTATGCTACATATGTAAACATTGAGAGCAAAGTCACACAGACATATATGGTATGCCATATTATATGGAAGATAATCATACTGGCAAAGTGAATAACTATGACAATTCAGCATATTGCGGAACTAACACTTTTACAAACTAAAGCAGCCTCTGTGGCAGAGAATGTCTAGGTTCTGCATCAGTCTCAACCTCCCAAATGTAAAAGCAGACCTTAAAAGCGTGACATAAACAGCCTTCTCAGTACATGAGAATATGGGAAGAATTGTTAACTATAATATCTAGAATGCATGTTTTAATTTACCCAAGTAAATCCACAAACTTACCCTGCCGAGGTCCATCTCGATTGGTGGACTCAGAAAGACTGGGAGTGAAGAGGCAAACTGTGTGTTCAAAAGTAGGGGCACACTGTACCATAAGCAGCTGGCAATATTCCATCACATTGGCACAGATCTAGAGATATAGATGTAAAGTTTTTTTTTTAATACAATGTCTCTTATTGCTTTGAAAAAGGCACAGAAAATAGAAAAAGGTATTTGAGAATGTTGCAGTAACAGCCTTTGTTCCTTCATTTGACTTATATCCAGCCTTTTATATAGGAGGCCAAAGTGGTGTATGTGTGTGTGATGCTCCCTCACATTCCCCACAACAACCTTGTGAGGTAAGTTGGGCTGAGCAAGAGAGAGCAATTAACTAAGTCCCCCTGGGAGCTTCTGCAGCAGAGAATGGACTAGAACCTGGGTCTTCTCACTCCCAGTACAACACTTCAGCCGCTAGACCACCTCATTTCTCAATTGTATATACAGAGGTTTATTGAATGGCTCACCTGTTGCATGGCTAGTTCAATATCATCTCTCTTGTTCACTCTATCCGCCTCTGTGTGATCATCTTGCAACCTGAATTGGTGCAGTCTCTCTGAACTACCAAAACGCGTGAGTAGGCCTAAGCACTGGCGCTAAAAGCAAATGAAAATAAACCAATGATTAATTCTGTTCTCCAGATGTTTACCATTAATTGTATAAAAATTCAATGTGTTGTGTTTAAGGTATAAAATCATATTCTGCATTACTGACCACAATATTAAATTAAAATTCTTGCCTTTTTCATTTTTCTCAATGGTTTTATCTGTTTTGAAAATTTGCAATTAAACATTTTGTTCCTGACAGTATCATACTTTATTCACCTCACCTACCCTGCACCTCACAAAATTTTACAAAATATAACTTGGGCTGTACCTTATGTTCCTTGTTTCTGCACACCTTTTATGCCCTAAAGTTCATTCTGCGAAACTATTTGTTGTATTTAAATATTATGCCACAACTAGTTTTGTCTTTGGAAAAGCATAGGGAATATGTTTACTTTTAATGTAAATCTTAGCTAAATTATAACATTTATTCTTTTGTCAAAAAACAAGATGGATAAATAATAAATACTTTAAACAGCCTATAAAAATGTGTATACTACTTATTTTATCATACGCTTCTTAGAATTAATGATGATTCAAGTGGTCTATAGAACTATGTAATTAAGTAAATAAATACTGCTGTGAAGTTGTGTTATTAGAGTAAGTTGTAAACTACTAAAGAAAACAATTGCTGTAATTATAGAAATTTACCTGAAATCGCCCTATATGTCCTTGTAGTTCAATCTGCATTCCTTCATTGAAATCAGGGTCGAAGTCACCAAGCACACCTAATGAAACAACACTCCATAATAGATTGAAATATATTTTTTATAAGGGCATCTTCTGCTAGGCTGTAGTAATTACCCACTTTATTTAGCAGGATCATATTAATTTTTAGTTGTTTCAGAATTTTCTTGCAATTTTTAGAAAAATTTTTAGGAGAATTTAGGAGCTTTTCTAATAAGCAGTTTCTGCTGAACTGTATAAATAAAATAGTTCAGCATTCTAACTTCTCAAAATACACAGTGATTTTGATTGATTGATTGATTGATTGATTCACTCCCTGGAAGAATATAATGAACATGTGAGTCTAAAACCTATATTAGAATGCAAGACTGTAATGTCTATTATATGGATTAAGAAAAGATTCTGTGAACTTTCTCTTCCTTGCTCTATACAAGTGGAAAGTTTTTATAATATATTTTATAAATATTTAATGTTATCCCAATAAAAGAAAGTGTGTTGTTTTGTGTCAAAAACAAAAAACATCTTGCCTGGTAAAGCAGCTTTGCTGATTATTCCAGTTAGTAATGCCAATTCTTGCAAGGCTCCCACACTAACTTCCTGACACCGCAAGATTGCTTGGACAGCATCTGAATGGGATATTAGGAACTGCAAAACCTATGAGACAAAGAGAGAGGGAGGGAGGAAGGGAGAGAAGCATACAAAGAAGCAAAGTTCAAATGTAATTAATTCAGGGAGCTGGAAATAAGAGCACATAGTATCCAATGATATCCAGTATCCAATAGTATGTAACTTTGAGAATAATTGAAATGAACAGCCAGTTTCTGTCATCTTACCTGCCTGGCAGCCTGAGCATGTTGTGCCATGCTAGAAGTAAGGATGATCTGGCAAAGCTGGAGAGCAGGCAAAAGAATCTGGTGATAACGCTCTACAGGAGCAGGAATGAAGACTGGAGGATCTCGCATTCCAAATATTCTTAAATGAAGAAGCGAAAAGGAAACCGATAATCTAGTTATGTTAAAAAAAACCTTGAAAACTCAAGATAGTACATATTTTACAATTATAAAATACAAAACATACTCTCTGTATACTCTCAGAACACTTATCTAGCTTAGCACTAGCTTGGCTTATACGTGATAATACAGGTGGTCCTTGAGTTACAACCTTAATTGTAGTGGAATCTCCTGCTAGGCTGTTAAGAGGTCTTAAGAGGGGGGCAAACCTAGAATCCTCGCACTGCAGAAAGTGGCATAGGCCTGACTTCCCAGAATCCCTGAAGCCTTATCAGACGATTTCCCAGGGAATGTAATCGGTCTGGCAAGCTTCTTGTAAGACAGGTGACCAACAATAAAGCATCTGCTGGAGATTATTCATGAGTAGTTCTGGTATAATCCATCTAGCACAGATGGCTGGGAAAGGATCGCTTGGCATTACTATTTGTTTTGAGATTTAAGTGGAGGTCATGCTTTAGATAGATGGATAAATTTATTTCAATTAGTGGCCAGAAAAGAAAATATAACAAAATTCAGTTTTGATTTAACATTAAAGTGAATGAAATCTTAGATTTATTTATTTACATAGATGATTTCGCAGCCCATAAAACGGGGCTGTAGCATACATAAATCCTTGTAAAATAAAACAAAAAATGAAAAAAATGCAATGAAACATAGATTAATATAACCAGTTACTATTTATAAAACTATCAAACCCTATATTTTTAAAGGAAATGTAACGGTTTATCAGTAAGTGAAATAATTTCAATTCTAGTCAAAACATGCACTATAAACATATAACACTAAAAAAAACCACTAACCAGGATGTTACTTTGGAAATCTGGTGTATAAACTTACCCTTGTTGATCTATTTCTGGCCGCATATCATATACCTGAAACTGTGCAAGTTTCACTATTACTCCAGATCTCAATAACTCTAGTGCTCCTTGCTGTATTTTTGCTACTTTGGTCAGGAAGGCCTGGAGGAAAAAAAAGTAAATATTTTATTTGTTAACAACAAGAACAAGAATCCAAGAATCAGAATATATGGTGAGAAATCGGATTTGCCAAGAAGTAGCTGGAGGCTCATCCCTTAAACCTCACTCCTTAGGTCATCCCTTCTTCTTACCTACAGAGAGAGACTGCCTTGAGTGATAGGGTGTCAGCAAAACGATGATTCAAATATTGATTTTAGCAAGTCACAAACAGACCAAGGGTCAAGATAAATTTGACACAAGACTTTGGAATTAATTATAAACACAGCTTCCTGTGGAAAAAAGCTTTTGTTTTGAATTACTTAAAAAATCATAAGAAAATAGAATTTTAATAATTGGACACTACAGGGAACTAAAATTACAATTAAAGGAGATAAACACTTAAACTAAAATTACAAATATGAATGAACCAAAATATTTTAACATTGAACGTACAGAAGGATAGTTTTGAACAACGGTCCTGGAAGTTAATTTTAAGACTGTAGACAGTCTGTATTTAAAATATGTTATGGAAAAGGAATTGATTTGAAAGTGAACCTAAAAATGAAGGCTACAAAAATGGAAAAACATGTCACATTGGACATCCAAAAGAACTGGCTGATGTCTTAGTAATTGAAAGGGATATACAAATAACAAACCAAGAGTGACCTAGGTCCTAGTTAATTCTCCTATACTGGATTTGCAAAAGAATTGCAAAACTGAAGAATTTTATCAGAAAGGACAAAGGACATTATTTGAAGGGACTAGAGTAAAAGGGAGAAATATAAATTTGGTTTATTTGATGAAGATTAAAATAGATATGTTGTTATCTCTAGTAACCCTTAATGGACTTCTGCTGACACTAGGACTGAACTGATGAGGTTTTAAGGATTTGTTTATAGATAAGAGACAAGATATGGGAAGAAAAGATTATTTGCTATATTTTAAGAGAAGATGCTAAATTATTAAAATTGTTTATACTTGCTGTGATAAAGGGGGAAGTTTTATGTGTGTGCATGTATATGTATTTCTACATTATTTTTTCTATTTTTTTCTTTTCTGCATTTTCTATTTTTTCTTTTAATTTTTTTATTTATAGTTTCTATTAGCTTTTATTGTTGTAATTTTTAATAAAATTACTATTAAAAGAGAAAGATATACTTGAGAAGCTGACCTCTGACCATTTAAGAGAATTAATTGGGAAGGCTGGGAGAATGCTAGATAGTAAGTACGTTATGATTTGCCTCTTTTAAATGAATAACCTACTATTGCAAAGCAGAAAGAAAAAACCTCATGTGAAGTGGTAGAACAGATTAGAGTTCAGAACTTTAACTGTTTTCAACAACGATTTTGTAAAAATATGCTTCAGAGATGAAATAGAAAGTTCTTTTAATCTGGCTAATGGATAGAAAGGAGAGTATTCACAGATATGGACAAT